CTGCTGAGCAAAGCAAGAAACAAGCCTCAGCTAGCTGCTTCGTTCTCCTATCTCTCAAGTGCATCTCACACTGTTATTGTTCATAAAGCTGAAATTAATCCATTAATCCATTTGAGCAAGGTTTCTCTGCTCCTCGAAACAAGCCTCAGCTAGCTGCTTCGTTCTCCTATCTCTCAAGTGCATCTCACACTGTTATTGTTCATAAAGCTGAAATTAATCCATTAATCCATTTGAGCAAGGTTTCTCTGCTCCTCTCATCATTTCTCTAATCAAGAGTCTTTGCAAATAATAATCAACAAAAGAAACCCTTTAGGTATTGGCTGGATCTAGAGCAGACTTTTTGACTGTCTAGCAGCATTCCTCTGCCAAACAAAGGGGTTTTGTCCTCCGAAATTATACTTTTTTGGTTGAGATAATATTTTGCATATTTCTCTGAGGCATTTCACCATTTTACATGTTTAACATCTATTTATTAATTTATGCTTGCATTTTCCTGGGAGCTACTCAAGTAAGTAGAATTCCCATACAGATGAAGTAACTGAGTTTCAAAGAGTCGAAGACCCAAATTTTCAAAAGCACAGAAAGCTTTGAGCAATGTCAGTTTAAGGCAAAACTCAAGCACCAGCCTATTTACATATAATCCACAATAGCTGCGAGTGCCAAGTACTCTTCCAGTGAATAAACTTGCAAGGAAGAATCAGTGCTTTGGAATTGCTTTTTCAAGGCAATGTATCTTACTGAAAGTGTGGGGCCAGCAAACGTTTGAGCCCAGCAAAGGCAGAAAGGAGGTTATTCCAGCATGTTTTAGATCTCTTGTGATGTTCCAGATCGCTCCAGTCCTTTTCCTAAATAACAACATAATTAGAATGACCTGTCATCACAGGCCTGTTCGGATCTTTCCGTGCATCCTGTCAGCCTATAAAATAATGAAGGGAGTGCTTAGTTTACAAAGCAGCAATTCAAATGCAATTATACTGAAAGTGTGGCAGTACCGTAGTTGTAGGCATTCCCCGTGCTTTTAGACACAGGAGATGATTGCTCTGAAAACATCTTCTTTCTTCTTTCTGCTCAGTGAATGCATTTCAAGCCTTTCTTCATGCTACAAGTTCCTGTATGCACTTGTAAATAAGGCGATTTTGTGACCGATCTGCCAGGCTCCTTGCTGTCACCCTAACCAGGGATATCTTTGGCCAAGCGTTTCCACCACCCTGCCCTTCCCATCGGTGTGCTCTCTCGTGTCGGCTAGAGAAGCTGAATGTGCAATAACTTGAACCCCTTTCTGAACTCACAACATCAGGAGATGTCAAAGATGTTCAGCGCCCTCCATCATGAGAAACAAATTATTATCTTTAGCAAGCCTAGAGGAGACTGCTAAACCATATCTATATCATGACCTATTAATCGGCTCTATTCACAAACTTCCACATATTTTACAAGAGGAATTTGTTTAAGGTATGCTCTTATCTAGGTGAATTTGTAAAGCCTAAAGAGATGACATATTAGATATTTCTAAAAGCTCCCTGGTTTTGTATGAACACTTGGGTTAAGATATGGTAATCTGTGAATTTATTCAGATTTGTAGCTCAGCATAAAGCTGTCTGGTTTTTGGACAGCCCTTCTGATTTACCATCTTGTGGTGAAATCACTGCAGGAATTTGGAAGAAGTCCAATTCTATTTGTTTAAAGTCCTCATCATGGGGCTTTGGCATTTCTAAAGTATCCAGCAGTCGTTTGCTTTCAATTATCATTCAGTTCAACCACATAAGTAATGAATGTGGCTACCACATCCAACTTGCAGGCTATGTAAATGCTTGAGCTGGGTGGAACTCTCTTCTATATAGAGGCTTAACTATAAATTTAACTCAGAATGTGAATCCTCTTAACTTATTTTAGGCAGGTCTTTATAAGTATAAAATAAAAATAAATAAAAAGGAAATGAAACAAGCCCTAAATGAAAGATTCCACACAATACACCTGATTCACTTCAGAAGCAATTTCCTGGCCTCCCCAACCTCATGGTCTAACTGTAGAAACCTTAAAAAAACAAGTTGATTTAACATTTCTATTTATTCATGGTGTTCAGTTTCCAGAGGAGTCTGTGACTTGTAGTTTTAAACTCAATTTAGCATTTAAACTCATTTTCAGCTGGGTCCCAGTGGAGCAGCAATTAGAAAAGGAAAGGAGTTCAAAGAAGAAGGGTTATAACCTTTCAGTGGTATGTTTGCCTGGGCTTAAAAAAATGCCTCTCTGTTACTATTCTTCCTACATTCAGCAAACACTAAATCATACAACTGGGTTAAAAATCTGTGGGTCCAGAGAACTTCATGGTTAGATACAAATCAAAACCCTCATGGCTATTAAGGCAGAAAATCATTTTTGGGGCTACCATTATATAATGAAAGTCTAAAATCAGCAGGCCTGACTTCTCTTCAGAAAAACACAAAGAAGTCCCACATTAAATCTGAACAAGATGAATCAACCAAAAAAAACATACAAAGAAAATCTTCTCTGCTGCATATTGAAGAGTTGTCTACTCATTTTTGCAGCTGATGGTTTTAGTTGAGACTGGTGTCCCATTAATCCAAACACTACATATCCTTGCATAAATCTGGGGAGTCAAACAGGCCGTGCAGACAAAGGATGGAGGAGAAACTCTCTTGAAGTAATGTTGCAGAAGTCAAAATGGTCAAAGTGTGAGTAGAGCAGTAGCCTGCAACTCAGGACCTCTGGCCTCATCTATTAAACCACAGAAATGAGGTTTGTATGTATTTTGGCATACTCTGAGTTAGTTTTTGCCTCCTCTAGTAATCCCACTATCTGTAGCTAGCAGTACTCTAATGAAGCACATTCCAATGTCATAAATTCAGCCTCAAGATTAAGCCTTTGACAAGATCTGGCTACCAAAATCTTATCTGGAAGCACTGCAGTGCACGTATCCCAACAGATAACTTGTTGGCTTGTTTGCTTTTCCTCTTTACCCAGTTCCTGTAAACATATAACATGGAAATCTCCCCGGGGATCCACACTGTGAGCTTTTACTGATTTCAGTGTACACACATCTGATGACAGGACCTGCATGTGAAAACCTGCGGGACTGTGGGCTAAATGCAGACGAGATGAGTCAGGATCCCTCCAAGGTGGCACAACTCACGGACTGGGGTTACTGTTATCTTCCCATGCACATGTGACCCACTCATATCAAAATGGATCATATCATTCCTGAGAGAATAGGTTCTGGGAATGTAAATGAGAATTTCAGTATTCTTAGATAGTCTGTAGTCTTTTGATTTGTTTATTTAACCTGGCTAAGAAAGGGACTTTTTATGAAAGACATAGTCCATTTAATTTGCATTTTAGAGGCAAGCTGTCCAACGATACTAGAGGGCACACAAGACACGTTGGGAAACAGTGACCAGTGTATCCCAAAATAACTGCAAATCTTGCCAGAAATTTTATTTCTATAAAGCCAGTTGACAATAAATCTATCCATTCTGACCCTAAAAATTGGAAATGTAGGAATTTTTACTATGTCTTTTATCCATAACTAGTTAACTAGATTTAACCAGATAGATCCTGGAAAAAAAAACAGCTGTTTGAACTGAATCAGGAGTTTTGTCTTCATTTCATTTGGTTGGGAATCAACTATACCTGATAGAGTAGGTATAGCATATACCAGGTGTCAGATAATTTGTCTCTAAATATTTTTTTAAGGAAAAGATTTAGGTAAGAATCCTCACTCACAAATTTGCAAATACAAACTAAATATGTTTGTCTGAATTAGTTAAAGAAGAAATTAATACTGCTGTATCAAATTTTTTAAGGAAAAGATTTAGGTAAGAATCCTCACTCACAAATTTGCAAATACAAACTAAATATGTTTGTCTGAATTAGTTAAAGAAGAAATTAATACTGCTGTATCAAACATTTGCTGAGGATCATGCTGCGGCTGCTAAAACTCTCCATTTTGAGAAGACATATGCTTAAATACGCCCCTAGTCATTTGAAATGTCACATAAGAATGACAGAAATGACACCAGTTTGTATAGGGACACAGCTGAATGTGGACTGAAACCACCCCTAGGCCAGACTATTAAAATGATTTAACGGGGATCAGACGAAGTTCTGAACTATTGGAATTTGATGTTCACAGGAGGCAGACACAGCATGGGGCACACAGAACATTTCTGAACGAAAGGCAATGCCAGGGCATTCTCAGCAAAACCACCACTGTGTCTCCTGCTATTGCTGATGAACTGTAGTTGATTTTCGAATCAATCACAATGAGATGATTAAAAATGGGATAACTCATTAGTTGGAAGAGATCTTACAGCAGTATCTAGCTGGAATATATTGATAACAATTGCAGTCTGCAATGTGGTTCCGATTGCTACATTCCTTTGAAATGTCTCCAGAAAAGATGTATAGAGACCTCCTGCTAAGGGCCATCAATGTCTACTCTTCCTGTTTGATTTTTATTTAACTTGCTATGGGTTGATCAGTTCTCAGTGAAGCTAAGGGCACTCTGAGGCCCTTTGAAAAACAAACTATTAAATAGAATTAAAGTTCCGTTCAAAATTCACCTGTTTTTCATTTCATTAATGTGTGTGTCTGCTCCTGGATCCATGACCTGCACAGGCCATCAATTTTTTTTAACCTTCATGCTGTCCCTTTCAAGTTCCCTGCTACTAATCTATAGTCTTAGTCCCATCCAACAGCAACTCCCACTCATGTGTTTGATTCCATCTTCGGTCTCCAGGTTCCTGGACCTGAGTTCATTAGACTAGTGACCACACATTTGATGCAATCTCAAAAATCACAGGGTAAGTACTATTCCCATGAACTATGCTCAGTGATTTTGTCTAAGTGACTGCATCATCTGTAGGCATCAATCTCTTTAAAACCGCATCTACATTTTAGATTACATTAGTATACTGTTTTAGAAGAGCTGAATAATGTGCTTATAGTACCTTAAAATGTTTGCATACATAACACATACATACCTTGGCATTTTGAAGAGGAGGCTGGTAACTAGAAGGCCGATAGTACCTTCTCTGAGTAGCATCAGTGTGAATGTCTCCAAGAAATAGCTCCTCCACAAGGTGATCTAAATTGTGGTGCAGATACTGTTTCTCTACACGGATCAGCTGGAGTTCATGCATGGCAAAATTCAGAGCCTTGGTGCATTCACAGCCGTTCTCTTCCCTCAGCAAATCATAGCTCACATCCTGTTCCCAAGGACTATCTTCTGGTATAAATCCAGGACATGTTTGGTTCACGAGCTCACTTAATTTTTTGGTTATTGCTTCATTGTGGCATATGATTTGTATGCTGCGTAGCTGATAATCAGCTTCAGTACCCCCTCGGATGATCCAGGATGCTTGTCGGAGACGAATTTTGCCACGTATAACTAAGGTATAGATGGGATTTGTGCAGTGATTGCCACCATAATAAAACTGGTAGGCCTTAAATGTATTATTGTGGTAGAATCTGTAAGATCTTGTGATGAATTCTGGGCCTGCTCTAACTTCGCAACTGCGGGAAGACAAAGTGAAGGAACAAAATGTTAACAAGGCGGCATATCATGAACACTACAGGTAACAAGACCGAGCAGCGCTGCATAGATCTAGCAAGATACTTGGGTGTCAGTGTCCTTTTGACATGAATGGCAGTAAATAGGAACTAGGCATATGTGACCTGTCAATTTGCCAATTCCCTTTACTGGCCAATTTCATTTTCTGTTATGCAATTCTTAACATATTGCTTCATGGTGATCATATCTACCTGAGAGCCTTGTTTTTTTTCAGATTTTACATAATTTCACTCATATTCTCAAAGTTGCTTTTCCTTTTTTTTTTTCCCCCTAAGGACAACCATGTGACTCAACACTTCTTTGAAAAAAACAGTAGCTCATTTAACATATATATTCTTCCCTTTTGCGTGGTGGATTAGTAAAAGGACTGATCAGAAAGTAAAATGCCAAATGTCCACAAGATAGTCTAAATAACTGGCTTCTACAGCTGCTGTGTAGGCTTTTGGTGGCACACTTCCAACTCTGGTCTGCAGAGGTCCAGGAGGATTTCACCCTCAGCTTCTCCACATACACTGTCAACTGGGATGACAGTTAATGCAAGCTTCCTAACTGGCTTGAATTTGGACCTATCATCAACATTCATTTTGTTAATCAAGAGGTATTTTCCCCCCTCTCTGAGAGGGGAAATTGCAAGTAAATTCCACTTTCCACAGAAAGTCAAACTTCTTGTATCTTCAAATTTCTCCCTCTTTGTCATCCACATGGCTTAACATAAATACACTCAACTTTCTGTTAAATAACCATACATTTCCCTAAGAGTCACTTCAAATAAATGGATGAATATTGCTTTTTGAGACACAGAAAACAAAACAGGTCTCTCTGAATTAAAAGTTTTCATGTATGGAGAGGAACAGAACTGGTCAAATACCACTTTTAGATTTCTTTTGCTAATAAAACCTGTGCTAGGCATGACCTGAAAGCAAGGATCCATCCAATGGCTCTAATGAACATAGTCAAAGACAGTACAAATTAATGGGGGAACAAGCATTTACTTGGGAACCTGAGGGTCTCTTTCCTATTCCAAAAGAGATCTGAACATGCTCTTTAAAATCCAGGCTACAAATTGATCCATCAAGAAAGCTTTACAGCAAGCAATTCTGACATCTATAAAACAGCTCCTTCTTTCTTATATATGTAAATATACTGTACATAAAGCATCTGGGATTTGGAGAATCAGCATATTAAAAAAAAAAATCCTGAGGCTTAGAGTGGGACTATTCATTATTTCCTCTCTCCTGCCTCATTCTTTTCTCTCCCATCTATTTTTCCAGCATCTTATTTTAGCTTTCCTTACCCAGTGGAGACCCAGTGTCCCTCAATATTGGGAGGCATCTGCACGGTGATGCGGGCTCCATTGTGAAGGTGTTTCAGCATATGGTGACACTGCGACTCCTTGAAAGCCCTCCAGGCACTCTTCTCCAAGGACTGAGGGTGGGACCTGCTGTCCGGATGAAGAAGAGCAGAACCTTCTCCCAGCCCTGAGAAGAAAAGCATAAATTATCAGGAGACCCTCGCGAGAACGACTTCAACATGGTAAAGGAGGCTGCGAGCATGCTGGGTGGAATGATATGTGTTCACAGCATTGTGTGGCCAGGAAAGCACTGTTTACATTTGTCTCATCTGAAAAAAACTTCACAAAATTATGGGGAGCTCTCTGTCAGCCCATTACCATCCACTGAGTAGATCTGCTTTATGTAATGTCCTGGGGAGAGGACTTGAACCCAATGCTGTGTATATTCCACACCCTGGAAACGTGGCTCTGGATCTGAATTTTACAGACACCTCTTCAATCTCTGGTCAGGATAATCAAAAACCTGGACCTTGCAGCTTTTAGCAAGTTGCATCCAGATCCGGACACAAACTTTGTGGTTTCAGCCCACCTCTAATTTGAATGCTTCTATAATAAACATCCAAATAGAGGCTACTCTTTAAAGGAAGGGAAAACAGATATTAAAAGCACAGCCTCTGCATACAGGAAGCCTTTGACTGAGGTGGTCAATTAAAGGCAGATCCAGCTATTTTTGTTTTAAAGGGGAAAAGGAATTTCAAAAGCTTATTTTATCTCCAGCACACAGTAATTTTGGTTTCTAGTAATGTATACATACAAACCCCACCAGCAATCTTTCTACACATTATTAATTGAACTAAATGAACATGCAGCTTCAGAAAGATTGCATTTTTACTCTTTTACTCGCTCTGCACTGTTAGATACGTCAGCAAAACATGGATCAAAAGAAAAACTCACATCTAGAGGTTAAGAGGTGAAAAACATGAACCTTACATAAGAGGCTGGAAGCTGTATTACTTTGCAGAAAGGAATTTAAGAACCACTGGACTAGAAAAAGAATACAAGGTGAGGTGGAGGGGCTGGTTGTGCGCCCTCGCTGACCAGGATAACTTAGAACAAGTCTTGGTAACACACACTTCCAGGGCTTAGGATTCACACCTGCCTTTTCTGTGTCCTCTTGGCAGATCCAGTGCAGAAAATGGGCTGTCCTGATCAGCAGAGTGTGGGACAAACCCTCCTCATGCACCATATGCGATGTGGAAGCACCTAACCCAGGACTGTGCATTATATTCCCCAGGCCAGACACCTTAAAATACAGGCACTAAGTGTGACTTTGAAATCTGAGGATTATATTTCAAGGTAGGCCTATAACTGCAGGCCAGCCCAACAATGTGCAGTACTGCTAAGTAACTCCAAGAGAAAATCAGCATCATTCATTTACAGACAGACACTGCTTCACCCCCTGGCTATTTCCTACTGCAAAAAGAAAACAGTGTCAATGATTCATGATGGTGACTGGGTCTTAGGTCTTCAGGAAGCTGCCTAGGTAACACTCGTGAAAATGGCTTTGCTAAAAATGTGAATATATGTCAACATATAGAAATGGATTCCTTATCTTTAAACAATAATTCATAAACTAAACAAAAGTAAGGACTTGCCAGTACTTGAATATAAACAGTATTTATCAGTGAATGATCTTATTCATATTAATGAATACAACCTCACAAGATCTTTAGGGGAGAATCTGGTGGTTTGCTACAGGTTACAAATAATTCTTCAATCTTAATGAAGACTTGGGGCCTTGCACTCTAAAGAGTAATAAATACTAGCTGTGCTTTGATATTTGAGAATGACATCTAAGTTGCCCTTAAAGGAGTTTGGTTTTCAGAGGGTCAATATTTCTGCCTTTCTGAAAGTCAGTCTCCTTGGGCATTACTACCTTGCTTAGCAGAATCGTTCATGTCAGCACCAGCCAACTCTGTTCTGAAGCCAGGAACGGTGTGGCCATGCCGGGGTGATACTTCACTCGAGCTAACTCCATCTTTGGAGAGACAGTATTTATTAGGCAGGCCCAGTGCTCTGTGTCCCTGGCTGTTCAGCTTCCTGGCCACGTGCCAGCATCTCTACACGGCTCTGTGCTGTGTCTTGTCTGCAGCCAGCTCACCTGCAACATTACCTGACACCCTCGAAAACTCGGGCATATCAGGTTTATCTGAAACCTCATGGGTATGGGGCTGATGTCACAGGCCTTTACACTGCCAGAAGAACACAGCCAGACACAGGTGAATTTGCTGGTATATTTATTTTTGTCACTATTAAATACAGCTAGTGGTTGAGGCTGTCTTCTACATCTCTTCTGCATCTCTAAATCTCTGCACATTCAAAAAGACCCTGTAACTTCAGCACGTCATGCTAAAAAGGAGCAAACTGCCCGAGCCGTGAGCTTGGACCTCTGTGTGCCAGAGCGACACCTCCTGTGTGGTACCTGGTGGAGCCTGTAGCCACCAGTGCCAACTCATTCAATGGAAACTGAGCAGTTAAACAAATTATCTCACACTGAAAAAGTCTTTGATAATTTTCATTTCTGCCTGGAGTTGTTAAGTGCTTAAAATCTGCCCTCAAGAGGAGCCTTTGAAATGGTTCAAGTGACTATTTCCAAAATGTATTTATTATACCATTTGCTTTTATGCATTTGTATTTTTCCCAGCTCATGTCACATGAGTCATGAATCCAGATGCATTTTAAAAATGAATAATTTGTTCATTTAAACATACATAAGCTTTTAACTTATCCAAGAAAGAATCCTTTTGCAGGAAGATACTGGTCTGCCTGCAGCTTGCGAACAACAAACTGGGACCAGGGGACAGAAGGGACATTTGCATCTTTAGCCAGAGAGTCACACACGAGGAGAGAGCATTTGTATGAGATTGTGTACATGAAAATGTGGCAAAAGAGGGCGGGAGCATGTTTAGGTAATCAGGACGGTCATGAGAACATAACGAAGGCTCAGAGACAGAAGATAAGTAGCAAACATATACATACATGCTGGGCAGCATCACATAACTTGGATGTGAACACAGAATACGGAATAGGACTAAGGGGCAGTGACAGGACCCTCACTTTCCTTGCCACCTGCTACTTGCTTACACTGCGCGTGTTGCTGGGGCAAGGAAATGCTTATTCTAACACAGCCTCCTTCCTTCCAGAAAAGGCATTTCAATGCTTGTACATTTATGTACTATGCCTGTATATATGACCATGAAACACAAGTGCCATAACTTCTCTTTGTACCAGCTAAAGATCACACAGAGAGACCAGTATACACTTCCCACACGGTGCACCATCCTGAACACTGTGTTCTGATGCTTTTCCACAGAACAGGCAATCTGAAACAGTGCAGCGTCCCTCTGCTTTGTCTTTGGCAGTGCACAACGACGTTCTCTGTAAAACTGGGGCCTGACACAGCCTATGGAACAGATTTTAAAAATCCATTTGGTGATGTTAAATGGGACCTTGTTGGAAGGCTGGTGGTTAAGATACTGTTTCATGAAACTGGCATGAGAATTTCAAGAATACTTCAAAGCCTAAACACAGTTGCAACATACTTCTATTCACAGAGATCCAACTGCAATTCTGTAAAGCACAAATACTAGGTTTCCATATACCCATGACAAGCTATCTTTCTGTATAGCCACCTCAAGCTCCAGTTTGCTTTTAAATTTTTATATGCTAGGAAGGAATCTTACACATAAAAAAAATCCATCCAGAAGCATGAAGGACCTCAAACAAACAACAACAACAACAAAAACCCCTTTGCCTGTTTGCATAAGACTGACAGCAATAATGCTGTGAAGCCATCAGTTGGCTTCCACTTCAGCTATACCATCATCAGAGATCACAAGATTGTGTCACCCACCCCACTGTCACTGTTTTGTAAAAGGAGCAAGTCCAAAAGGAGAATCGTATTTTCAGAATTCATCACAAATGCCATCTAGAAAAACAAAACACAAGCATTTTTGATGAGTTGCTATCCAATTTCATTTTTCATAATCAGCCCCTAAAAGTGTAGGCTACAGCTTTATCATCAAACTTTGAATGGAAATAGGGCAAGATTTGCTACAATTCCATGTTCTAGCCAGGAATTCCCTCTTAGGCTGTAACAAATTACATTTTCCAGGGGTGAATGCAACATCCATCTGAATGGGAAAGCATTAGTCCACCCAGCTGAAACTGCAGCAAGACAAAGATACAAGCACACACTGCACCAGGTGCTGATCACAGAGGGGACCCGAGGCTTTTAGATCCACCTACAAACCAGTTTCTGATGTGGGAACAACCATTTTAGCTAAAATTAATTTTGAGGAAAGATAGGTTGCTTTCAAGTTCTTCAAAGAGTTCTGCAAATAGCTGTGAGTAAAACAGGAATTTTAAAAGTGCAATCTGTTGGCAGACAGCTACCAGAACGTGTTTCAAAAGCTGCTATGAGAAACTTCTCCATCAACATTTATGCAAAAAAATTGTGAGCTACTATAATAAATGTTTCAGTTTTCTGCAAAACAGTATGCAAACAATGTACTATTGCAACATGGATAATGATAAGTACAGTTGTGCTTGAACACAAATTCTAATCTTTTAATTCATATCTAAATACCCTTGCCGAATTCTGCCCTCAGCTACACCAGATTGCAAAAGTATAACACAAATCAGCTTATATCTCAAACTCTTCAGATTTAATCAGTTTAATTAACACCTCTACCAAATCTAAACCATGGTTTCAAACATCTCCAAATGTGGTGCTTCCAAAAACAGACTCGAAGCTACCAGAAACTCAGGAGATTCACCTTGTGATATATAAGAAAAGAGATTTTAACTGAAAGTAGGATTCAAATCTGGATTAAGATTGGTATTGCTCACTAGGGACATTTTTTTCTTTCACTTGCAGCAATGTAAATTCAGAAGAGTTCCATTTTATCTCAATTTAAAATGATCTCAAGCCATAATACAAATTCAAAATATTTGATTGCTACATCTATGATAGAAAGCCTTTTAACATTCATGTTTTATTTCTGTAGCAAACAGTTTTCAAGTTAGAACTTGTTTGAAACTAAAGACTTTACAACAGATAAATTATAAAAGGCTGGGTTAAGTTTATAGCTTTCCTTATCTAGTCAGCTGCCCTGCACAATTAAATAAATATACATTTGGATTATACCTTTC